CTTGTAAAATTATCACATGTTAATATTTGTCAAAAGTAAAAAAAAAAACTTGTTAACACTTTTTTGACGTATTTTTTGATTTTTTTTTAAAGTGAACAAGGATGAATTAAAAATTTTATAAAAATAATCAAGGAAATGATCCGGCTGGCTGACAAGGATGGATCAGGGGCCCTGGATTTTCCTGAATTTTTAAACATGATGAAGGAGAGAGTAAGTATAATGTTTTTGTAAAGGAATTGAGTTTTTGCCACAAACTCTGACTTTTTAATCACTATATCTTTGGAACCAAATGTTGTAGACCTTAGATATTTCAAACTATGAATTCTGTTAGATTAAATAATCAGAGTTTGAAATATCAAAGGTTTACAACATCGGGTTCTAAAGATATTGGGGTTTAAATATTTGATTTTTTTAAAAAAGATTCAATTCCTTTTAAGCTGTACTTAGAACAATTTGATACAGTTAAACCCAAAACTTCGGTGGATCGAAAGAATTTATAAAATGTTGTATTCTAATCCTACTGATAATGGATTGCTGCAGATATTTTTTTAAATTGAATAATTATATGAAGCTCTTTTAAACTGTTCCAGAACATTCATGGTTTTTTCTTTACTTTTATAAAAACGTTCTATTAAAACTGCAACTATTCAAAACTAACGTAACTTCCTTTAATGATCTTGTTTTATAATTGTGTTCAAGATTTACTAAGAAATGTATTCACAGGTGTAACTGAAAATAATTATTATTTTTTTTAATTAATTAATGATTAATTGCTAAATATATATTTCAGATCAAGGAACAGAACGAGGATGATGACATCAAAAATGCTTTCAAACTGTTTGACACGGTGAACTGTTATTTTAAACTTTATATAAAAATCATTCTAAAACAATTTTAAAACAATTCTTGACAGTTTAGAATAAAAATTATCAAGGAAAACGTAGGATAATCAAAATATAAATATCACGGATGAAAATAACTCGTTTTTGTTTAAAACTGTAAAACATCTAGGATTGAGTTCAAGGTTAAAACTGGAAAATATCTTGTATAGATTTCAAGGTTAAAACTGTACAATATCTAGTATAGATAGAGTTCACGGTTAATTCTGTAAAATATCTAGGATCTGAGTACAAAGTTAAAACTGTAAAATATCTAGGATTTTAGTTCAAGGTTAAACTGTAAAATGCCTAGGATTTGAGCTGAAAGTATGAACTGTAAAAAATCTAGGATATGAATTCAAGGTTAAAACTGTAAAATATCTAGGATTTCAACTCAAAGTTATGGATATAACCTTAGCTGAAAACTTTAGAATGGGATATCCTTAATCCTGATCGGATAATTAATCTAGAGATTAAAAATGAGAGGAGAACAAGCAATATTTAATCTCGAGATTAAGAAAAAGAGTGGATTAAGCCTTAATCCCGATATCCACCAATCTAAAGTTTTCAGCTCTTGTAAAATATCTAGAATGGAAATGAATAACCCTGTAAAATATCTTGAATGGAAATGAATAACCCTGTAAAATATCTAGAATGGAAATGAATAACCCTGTAAAATATATAGGATGGAAATGAATAACCCTGTAAAATATCTAGGATGGAAATGAATTACCCTGTAAAATATCTAGGATGGAAATGAATAACTCTATAAAATATCTAGGATGGAAATGAATAACCCTGTAAAAT